TCAAGAAAAGAAGATGTGAGATAGGATGCCTTCAGTGAGGCCCCCCCACCCACAGTGACCACCAGAGAGAATGCTAATGATATTAGTGCGCGTTTTCTTTGACTTTCTTGTACCACTTTTCCTGGGTTGGGGCCTAACCTAAGGGATACCTGCTCAACAAGGCTCACTATTGGGTTCCGGCATGCACGCAGTTCGCATGGAATAAACCTTAAGCCGTAAACCCTAAGCCCTAAACCCGAAGCCTTAAACCCTAAGCCCTAAACCCTAAACCTTGAGCCCTAAACCCTTGAACCGCGTGCTGAAACCCTGCCTTCCCTGCCGTGCAGTAGAGGCATTGCTTAATCTGACTACATGACCCATAATCTACACTCCTTAAATGGGGGTTATATAGGTGCTTGTATAGTCCCCTTTATTTAGGGCTTAGGGTTTAGGGTCTAGATTCCTTAACAGGGGGGTTATATAGGGGATTATATAGGGGAGTACTCTAGGCGCTATTAAGGGGGCTACTAGGAGTTTAAACCATAGCTCGCATGTTTTTGAGGACTACCTGTGGGAATGAGGTTGATGGACACCCAGTTGCGCTGACTCAGATCAGAGGATTGTGTAGGTTCAGCTTTGCCTCTTTTTTTGCCAGGTACAGGGTTTAGGGTTATGGCTTAGGGTTGATGAAGAGTTCGTTCTGCGGAATCCGTGGTTCTCATGAAGCTCATGAGCTCTATCGCTGGTAGGTGTTATGGAGGGCTTCTGTGGAGTAAGCAGGTCTGGTTTCTTGAGAACAAACCTCGCATGGCGTTTCGGATTTCATGGGTCCTAAACCCAGGCGCTTTTTGAGGTCTCTCACTGTCGCAAACTCCCGCGGGCACGAGCCCCAGACTCTAGCCTGTCCAACTCGGCTCATCAACTTAAATCCCTAAACCCTTAACCTTAAACTCCAAAACTTCAACCTTAAACCCTAAAACCTTAATCCCAAGCCCTAAACCCTCATTCCTAAACCCTAAACCCTCAAGTACAATTGCTCCAAAGATGACTTTCCTAGCCATGACAGCAATCTTAATTGGGGGTTTCCCGAAATTAGGGGTACCCTTGAAGGGATTATAGGGGTTAGATAGGGGACATATAGGGATAATGGAAAAGAAAATGGAAGCTACCATTTAGGGTTTGGAGGTTTCCTAAATTTAGGAGTACCATTTTGGGGGTCCCCAAAATAAGGATTAGAATATTTTGGGGTCTATATTGCGGTCCCCTTATTTTGAGAAACTACCAAATCTCCAGACTCTCATTCCCGAATTCTTGGCACCCGTAGCCTGCGAACTGGGGTTTAGGGTTTAAAGTTAAGAGTTTAAGATTTAGGGCCTAGGATTTAAGGTTTAGGGTTTAAGGTTTAGGGTTCAGGATTTAAGGTTTCGGGCTTAGCGGTGCCGATGCTAGGGTTCTAAATTCTCGCCGTAATAGGGTATAGGGTCGGTCAGGATGACATTCGAGATGATACTTGGTAAGGGGTTTGGGGGTTGAGGGTTTAGGGTTGGACAATCCCCGTAAACCCCTAGAAGCCCAGTTTCTATCTCACTTTTGATTTTCCATTCTTGGCGACTTTCAGAGCTTTAGGATGGATTTGAGGTTGAACGCCATCAACAGCATGAACTGTTTTTCTTTAGGGCTCAAGACCCGGAATCCCTTCAAAGCACCTTACAAGGAATTTGGTAGTTCCGACACGTAGGGGGAAACCAAGATCGACCCTAATTTACCATGGTTACTACCAGGGTCCCCCAAAGCCCCTAAACCCTAAACCCCAAACCCTAAACCCAACCCAACATGGTACCCTAGTTTTTGCACACCGCCATTGGCATGTGTCGTGGCATTCTGGATCATTAAGCCGTCTCACCCTGCCCTAGAACCTCAAAACCCTAAACCATAAAACCCTCAACCCCAACACCGTAAACACCCTTAAACCCAAACCAAACCCCTAAAGAATTTTGCCCCTAAACCAAGCCCCACAAAACCCTTAAACCCTAAAAACCAAACCCTAAAACTTTCAAGCCCCCTAAGACCCTTAAACCTAACCCTAAACCCCAAAGACCCTTAAACCCTTAAACCAAACCCTAAAACTAAAACCCTTAAACCAAACCCTAAAACTCTAAGACCCTTAAACCCTTGAACCAAACCCTAAAACCCAAAGACCCTTAAACCAAACCCTAAAACCCTTACATTAGGAGCCCTGCCACCTCGCAGGCCTCTCCGGATGCAGGCCGCTGCAGCCTTGGCCGTGGCCGCTGCCGGGCCGTGCTCAGCGCTGGGGCGGGGCGGAGGAGGCAGGAGGGGTTTAGGGTTTTAGGGTTTAGGGTTTAGGGTATTGGTTAGGTGGACCCCCCAAACTGTAATAGTGGCATAATAGGAATATACGAGGACCCGAATATAGTTACTAGTATCCTTATAGTCACTCTTACAGGGTGGGAGGTCCTCCTAAGGTATTGGTTTTAGGGCGTAGGGTTGAGGGTTTAGGCTTTTGGGGTGTAGGGTTGAGGGTTTCCCCATGAGGCCGCCTACTTTGAGGAATTCCCATCTCTGGCTCAGGGTTTAGGGCTTAGGGTTTCGGGCTTAGGGTAAAAAGCTGTAGGGATGAGGGTTTAGGCTTGAGGGTTTGGGCTTCAGGGTCATGGGTTTAGAGTTAAGGGTTAGGGCAAAAGGGTTAAGAGTTATGAAGTGGAACCTTCCTAAACCCTTCACCTAGTGAACCTGTAGCAGTTCCCAGCTTACCATGGAGCAGAGCCTGGGTTGAAAAAGGGCGAAGAGTTCAGGGTTTAGGTTCTGGGGGTTTCCAGACTTAATTACCAATAATGAAGAAGCAGCCGGACAACAAGATGGAAAATGTCATGGAAGCTGGCTCATACATACGGTTACCACTGAAGAGTTAGGTTGAGGGTGTGCCGGCACGGGCTTGGTGGTTACGCGATACATGGAGAAGGAACTGGACAATCAAGGGCGTGTGGGTGTCATGTGGAGAAGCATACGGCGTATGTGCCTACTGCAAAAAGCGCAGAATGAATGGACAGCAAAATTGAAGACCAAATGGGAATTGGAGATATGTAAGGAGGACCCCCCACCCTGTAATAGTGGTATAAGCGGAATATAAGAGGACCCTAATGTAATCCTTATTATCCCTTATAGTCACTATTACAGGGACCTGAAACCCTCAACCCTTTTGGTGCTGGATGAAGACATGCAGGGGCTTGAGGGGGTGGATCAGCCGTGAAGAACACCATGATGGTCGTGTGAATGCGGCTGTTGCTGCAAATGCGGGTGACAATGAGGGCTCTGGCATTGAGTCAAGTAGGGTCAGACTGGAGTAAATGAACTCTTTTGCGCATGAAACCTCGTACCGGTCAGGCAGGCAGAAAAGTCCGAGGGGTTGTAAAGAAAACCTATTGGTGTCACTTCTGCAATCCACCTAAGCTATACAGCATGATTTGGCATTCAGTGGTTCAGGGTTTGGAGCTGGTGGCTTAGTGGTTGAGGAAAATCTTCAAGTAGGCTGTACCTGTGCTTAACCCCAAACCTAGACTCCGAAACCCAAGTCCTAATCTGTAAGCCCTCAACCCTAAATCCCTAAATCCTAAACCTTAAATCCTAAATCCTACACCCCAAGCCCCTCGACTTTTGAGCCCTACAACCCAGACCACAAATGGAGTTTCCCAAAATTAGGGGACCTCTTTGGGGTCCACAATAAGGATTATAGTAGTTTGGAGTCTATATTAGGGTTCCCTTATTTTGGGAAAGTACCAAATCCTGAGCTCTAAATCCTACAACCCAAGCCTGAAGCAGGTAGCCAAAGACGCTGCCGCCGTCTAGCTTGCGCCTCCACCAGGAGGCTACAAGGTTTAGGGTTTAGGGTTTAGGACACTAAAGTCAAAACCCCAAACCCTACAGTAAAGTCTAAATCAAGACTCTTAGCCCCCAAATCCTTCCCCTAACGGCCCAACTACCGAAGTAGCAAGCAATTTGGGCCTCAAGTATGTATGTAAAAACCTGTTTGGGGCCCAGGTAGCTCTTATGTAGGTGCTTGGACCCTGGAAGTTCAACGTGAACTGCTGCGCTTGCCTTTTCGACACCTCCGCCAGTAACATATGTAGGATCCAACTCTCAATTGCGTAGAGGTGCTAAATATTGAATACTCGTGTGAGCTGTAAGGGGCTGCGCTGTGCACCGAGACTATAGTTGGCATCCTACTTCCCGCAAATAGACGGATGGTTTGAAGGAAGTACCAAAGCATTCAAATTTGGCATTGGTAGATCTATTAGTATTATGAGCATTGCTACATTATTAGTATTACTGTTATTATTATTGCTTCTACTACTATTATTTTCTGGCTTAGCTGGGAATGAGGGAATGAAAGCGAAAATGGACACTACGGACATAATGGGTTATATAGGGTTTAGGGTTTCACCCTAAACCCTAATCCTTGAACCCCCCCAAAAAAGCTACGCTGGCATGAGTTTCCAGTGATTCTGCTGGCTGACACCCGTTTGGCTGGCTGCAGGCATCTCAGAGAGTCCTCGTTTAAACAAGTTTAGGGTTTAGGGTCTGGAAGGAATGGAGAAGAACATGAAAACTACAACTATAGATTATTTAGCGATCACTATAAGGATTCATGCCTTCATTCCTAGCTAGCCAAGGGCCACCATCGTCAGAAGAAACTTTAAAGAGCCATTGCTGCGAGTAGCACCCCATGCAGATTGCAGATGCTGACTGTCCGGCTTGTATCGGGGGATTTGTTGGCGGCGATACCCACGCAGGAACTAAGCACTGTGAGGGCCTTGAAGCAGCAGTTTCTTAGCCTGTGTGATGCAGCACGATTTCGACAACGATTGTTGCATGGTGGCACAGTTTTGGATGATGATCTGAAGCTGGACGCCCCTCTCGAGCTGCAGTTGGTCTTGCTGAACTTCATCAAGCCTTCACAGGAGCAAATCACAGAGATCATAAATGCATCCGGGGGTGGTAACATGTCTGAGCTGGAGGAGATACTCTGTCGACCACAGGATCCCAACCACTTCGTGCCTCGCAAACCGGAAAATTTTTCTGCATTTTGCGATGACCTCCCGCTGGGTGCGTGGAAAGCGCCTTTCTCACCTCTTCAAATGGCGGCCAATCTCGGCAAGCTTGATGCCATACGTCTCCTCCTTGAGGCTCGTGCAGACCTGGGGCCGGCCAGCTGCAGTATGAGAAGTCTTATTTTGGTCAACCATCCGGGCAGTCTTGACTCCATGATGCTGCTGCTTGAGGCCAGGGCGGATGCAGATGATGGCAGGAGCGCGCTGTCGTTCGCCGCTGGGCTCGGGAGAGCGAGTGCAGTGCAAGTGTTGCTGGACGCCGGAGCACAAAAGGATTTAGAAGATGAATCTGGCGTGACACCGCTTCTACAAGCATGCCATTCTGGGCACCTGCATGTTGTACATTTGCTGCTAGCTGCAGGTGCCAAACCAGCTGCATGCTGCAAGAAGGGCATATCCTACCTTGCAGCAAGGCAGGGGCGCAGGCTTTTGCAGGTTCAGCCACTGCTTTGCATGTTCAGATCGTCGCAGGCGAGGCACCGAATTTTGACGCGTTTGCTGAATCGGCGGCTACTTGCGGCCTCCAGATGGTTGCGGGCAAGGCGCCGAGTTGCAACACACCAGCTGGTGAAGCCGCGCTCAAAGTAGCGTGAGATGGTATGAGCACTGCAGTTGACATAGTCCCAGCTCTTGCAGTGATACAATGCAGGACCTTCAGCGCTTGGGTTGGAGACGGGCATCTCTCCAGCAGCTTCCTCATTGAAATCGCTTGGGTACCCGAAATTTAGCGGCCATATGAAACTTAAATTGTGGACCAAAACCAGGACACCACAAGTTTGACAACCCCACATCTACTTTCAGGGAAGTCTTCTCACCCTTGAGCTGCAGGACGAGCGTGCAACCCCAAGCCCTGCATTGTGTAGGTGCTTCTTCAAATTCAGGCGGCTTAAAAGTTATTGCACAATACCTCTGCAGGGCGCTAGCAGACAAGCAGCATCAAACAGCATTGCTGGAGCGACGCTTCAAATCCTAAACCCTAAACCCTAAATCCTAAATCCTAAACCCTAACCCTAAATAGTAGTTTCCATTATCCAAATAGAGCCTTAATATTACCCCACTCGGTACCAAAATCCCCTAATGCCAGCATTTCCTACTTTCAGGTTCAGGCCTTGCTCCCAAGGAAGCTTCCTGGGTTTAGGGTTTAGGGTTTAGGGTCCAGGAAATGATGAGGTGGATATGCGTTCCTGCAAACCATACGTGATGAGGCTTCCGGGTTTTGCATGGAGGGTTCCCCTACACCCTAAACCCCAAACTACCTTGGCTGGCCGAACTGGCCCTAAACCCGAAACCCTAAACCTTAAACTCGTCTGCATGAAGCTCACTACCCCTACGATCCTAAACCATAATAAATTGAGCCTTAACGCTAAACTCGAAGCCTAAACTCATACTGTCGCCCAGAATTATCCCTTCATAATCTATACATGAACATAGTATAATGCCACCCCCCAAAGCCCAAAACCCTCAACCCTAAACCGGTTCAACGGGCCCCTTCCGAACCCTACTCGCCCCTAGGTGGACTCAGTTTCCATGTTCTTTTCCTTCAGACTTTTCTGAAGCATTAGAATCCTATGGATCAGTTTGAAGCCCTACCTGACGAAATCATGTAGGCCCCATAAACCAAGCCATATATATATATATATGTAGAAATGGACCCATTCCATTCCGTTGTCCATTTGCTTCTCCGTCACTTCAAATCAACACAAATTTCGATTCTATTTATTTCGGATTTTGCATGAAGCCCTCTAAGCCCTAAAGCTTTAAAAGCCCTTTTGCCCTGAATCCTCCTCCATCCTCGGCCTGATAGTCCCCTTTAAGTAGATAGAATAGGAAGTATGTGGGGATTTTAGTAGAATGTACCCAAAGCCGTATTCTATCTACTTAAGAGAGACTATAGATCCAAATCTCTGAGCCATGAGACAGGCCCAACTGTCAGCTGGCGACCGTGATTCGCAGTCAGGCGCCTCCTAAATGGGTAGTTTCCCAAAATTCAGGGCCCCATGATAAAGTGTTTTCGTTACAGAATATATTATGGCACCTAATATTTAGGGGTACCAAGATGAGACCCTGATTTTGGGAACTATGTTCGGGTTTAGGGTCTAGGGTTTAGGGTCCTATCTTCCTGTTTGCAGGTTTCCCTTCCTTGCTTAGGAGCCCAGTTCAGCTTTAGGGTCGAGGATTCAGGCTTAGAGTCTGATTGTCAAAAAGAACAGCCACACGGTTTAGGGTTTAGGGTCGCAATGTAGATAACAGTTTTTGGCCATTACACAAAGAGTCATGTCTATGTTCGTCAGATTTCGTTAGCAGGAATACTGCACAATGGAAGTGGACGTACGTATGTACTTGAGGTAGTTTCCCCAAATCGGGGGACACCAATATAGACAGTCCTTATTATTGGGACCCCCATAAAGGTACCTCTAATTTTGGGAACCCCCCCTCTTAAACCCAGAGTCTAAACCCTGAACCCAAAACCGTAAACCCTAAACTCTAAACCTTACACTCAACCCTAAACTGTAAACCTCAACTCTAATGTGTTTATCGATGGTAAATCGGTCCCGTTTTAGGATTGCTGGTGAGGACGTATTCTAGCGCAGGGCAGTGCCCAGGGCACGCTGACAGTTAGGTTTTGGAGCCATTTTAGGTTTGGGGTTTGGGGTCTGGGGTGTAGGGTTTATGCCTCCCTCTATACTACCCCCGCCTAGGCTCCCCCTTAATTAACCGTCGGGTGGGTAGTATAGAAGGGGGGGTAGTAGGGGAACCCATGAATCTGTCTTTATGTTTGTAACTCTTGCCACTCCTGTTTCCAGTCCTCGTGTTCTTTGTGTGACAGAGAAGGGCGGCCCAATTCGTCGGTCCTGTCCGTACAATCTCTGCTGGATTACACGACGGCACCCTAATGCAGCCACCCTAGACCCTTATCCACAACAAGGCCTGTAGGCCAGGTAGGGAACTTTGAAGCCTAGATCCTCAATACTACAAGCTAAACTGTACACCCTCTAGCTTCAACGCTAAACAACCTGTGTAGGGTTAGGCGTTTAGGGCCGAAACCCAAAATCCGAAGCCCTCAAAACCCTAAATCCTAAATCCTATGCATTAAGCCGTGGACCCTAGAGTCCTAAATCAAACAGAGCAAACGCCTAAATCCCATTTGGAACAAGGTGGGACCCAAAGTGGAACGCCTTCGGCTGCTTCCCTCCCAGAAGCTGGTAGATGAGCTTCGTCACTAATAGCCTAGAGGGTCCAAGGACACAAATAATCGGGTGTTAGGGCCCAAATACTATACTATTAATGGTATTTGGGCCCTAAAACCCTGTTATTTGAGTCCTTGGACCCTCAGGGTAACAGAGCTTCAGGAGTTGAGGGTTCAGGGTTTAGTGTCATTAGGGTTTAGGTTCTTTTTTGGCTGGTTCAGTGTTATTCGGGTTTAGGGTTCACGGTTTAGGATTATTAGGGTTTAGGGTTTAGTGTTTTTAGGGTCTAGGGAAATTACGTACCATCAATTTGATCTCGAGGTCTGTTTGAGGTACTGCACGTAATGATTATGCAAGGAATTCAGAAATATTAGTAAACATTTAGGCCCTAGGGAATAATCATAATAAGCGGACTCGTAGAAAATCTGCTGGACAAGCATCTGGACGCTGCAGCAGAAGCTAGGGTTTTACAGATTTAGCTCGGATGGTGTTCTGGGGTACGATTTAGGATAGCTATAAAGTTATAAAGCGATCATAAGGGGATGATGTTAGTAATTGTTCACCCTAAGCCCTTTAGCCTGCACCTTGAACCCTAAACCCTAAAGCACCTTGAAGTCTAGGAGTGGGGGCAAAGAAAGGGATGCCAATACCCCTTGATTCGGAGTAGTCCCTTAACTGGTTTGGGGTTCCTACTATCACATATAGGCATATATGGTGATATACGCACATATATACATCTGAGGTTTGTCTCGTGAGGCCCATAAAGATCGCAGCTCCTATCGCGCTGCTGTGTAGAGACTTGTGTTCTAGCCTGTGCACAACAGTTCCTCCACCTGGAGCTTTCTTTCTTCTTCGACTTTCGAGCAAGCCATTAAAGCCTGCAAATGCCTGACATGTGTTCATGCTCTTCCAAGCTTGCATGCACTTTGATTCCCAAACCCGAGCCAGTGTAGATCATGGGTTCCCCTTCCACCCCCCCCATGCCACACCCCCCTTGGTTCCTTAGTTCGGCCTAATTAACCTTGATTAAGGGGGAACCTAGACGGGTAGTATAGTTGGGGGTAGTCGGGGAATCCATGAGTAGAAATTGAGAGCCCTCCAGATTCAAGCCTGAAGCCCCTGCCTTCGCAGAGATGGCGAGGGGCTCGTAAGACTGCGGACAGCGAGCCCCTAAACCCTGTTGCTATTGGGTGTAGGGTTAAGGGTTTAGGGTTAACCCTGTTGTTATAATCCCTATAGTCTGCATTCCGCTTGCAATCTTCTTTTCCAATTCATTCCACTACATGATACTGTTGTTTATTCAAGCCCTTAATTTTAAACTCTAAGCCTTGAACCCAAAACCCTAAGCCCCAAACCCTAAACCCTAAATCCCAGACCTAAAACTCTTAAACCCTAAACCAAACCCTTAACCTTAAACCCCAGACCTAAAACCCTTAAACCTTCAACCAAACCAATAACCCTAAACCCTTAACCCTAAAACCCTAAAACCTTAAACCCTAAACCTTTAACCCTGAAAAAACGGCCTCCTAGGATCCTTCTGGCTGGGCGCAAGATCCCTGCGTCTTCGTCCATGCAGGTGGCTGTCATCCCAGACTCCCTTAAAGGATTGGGGTTAGGGTTTAGGGGTTTGGGGTTTAGGGGTTAGGGGTTTAGGGGTTTAGGGTTTAGGGGTTTAGGGGTTTAGGGGTTAGGGTTTCGGGGTTAGGGTTTCAGAAAATGAGGAGAGTAATCCCTCAGTTTCCCCAATGGAGTAATGGGCTTATATGTTTTCAGTCTGGGATGCTGTGTTTCCTAAGATGCGAAATGCCTTCAGAGTCTTAAGGTTTTGGGTTAAGGGTTTCAGGGTTTAGAGTTTTAGGGTCTAGGAATTTAACCCTAAACCCGTTTTCGGGGTTAGGGTTTACGTAGGTGGATTGCCTTCATGCTGATTTTTCAAGGAGACTGAGGAGATGTCATCCCCATCTCCTACTCTGAATCCCCCATCTCCCTGAGATCAAATATTCCGCCTATGATATACTGTAGTATGGTTTAGGGTTTAGGGTTTAGGGTTGAGGGTTTAGGGATTAAGCCAAGGGGGGATTTCATAATAGGTGGACAGGATTACTTCAGGCAGATTTTGTGACAAGCCATGGGCGACCCCCTGGTCTCAACTTCAGCATGCAAACTGACAGGTTGAGCAGCGCAATTACTTCCAACCAGGTTAGAATTTTATGACCATAATAGGGTATAAGCCCAAGAAATCAAAGAGCACTTACCCTCCCAGGGCTCCTTTTACAGTGCTCTTTGATTCTGTTTACCCTAGGTCAAAATCCTAACCTGCTTCTAACCCCACTATAAGCCCCCGAAGTCCCCGAACAGGGCTTTAATTGGGCGATTAAATGCCAGCTGTAATTGGTTGTA